CCAACCCAGCAGATGTGAATCGAGAGATTTTCTTCTTCTCTGATCCACCCCATTTGATGAAAACTTCAAGAAACAATCTCGAAAATTCTGGCTGGAACCAAAAGTCCCGCAACTTGCACGTAAGTTTTTAATAATAATATGATTCCTTTTAATTATCAACAAACTTATTTTAAGATTGGAATTATTATAAATAATTATTATTAGAATTTTATTGGTATATCATTCTGTATATTAGTTGGAATACAGCTAATCATTGGTACCGGTCACTTTTCCAACTGTTTTGTTAAAGGTAGCTACGTCTTAAACTCTACTAGAACTTACTGTAGCCTCCTTCCATACAATGTATTTGTTTTAATTTGCATTCTTATTTACTGTATTACTGTATTGTATGGAAAATAAATGCATATTTGATTTGATTTTATTTGATTTGATTTGATTTGAAAAAAAAATGTTGGTTTTTTTTTAAAAAAAGTATTTATGTTTGTAGTGTATTCTTATGCCCTACAGATTTAAATTCTTATATAACAGTATTAAGGATTGCCCTTGTTTACATTGATTTACTGTATATTTCATTTACTTTTTTTCAATAGTGGTTAATCAAAGATTTCCTTGGTTTGTTGTCTGAGTGGGAAGAAGAGGCAGAACAAACACCAGACCTTACAAAGAGTGAAAAGAAGCGGTTATGTTTAAGTGCCCAAACCCTTGGTGGTCTAAGGATGACAGGTTAGTAGTCAAACTAATATTTGTAATCATAAACAGTCTGTATAGAAATTGGTTAACAGAGTTCCTCCAATACAAATCAGTAATAAATTTTAATATTTGCATTGTACTGCATATTATTTGCACAATTAAAAATAGTTTAGATGAATTGTCTCCCCATTTATTTTTTAAAGTAACATGAAAGTCAACCTGACCATATGAAATTGAGTATTTAAGTTTTGTTCAGTGGGTAATGCTATAGAATTCTGCTTTGGAAGGTAAGCATTCATTGTGATTTTTGGGGATAATGCATCGTAATGAAGTTTCAAAATTTTCTTATAATGCCATAGTACATTTTTTTTATGTCATTGCAGTCATGTCTTTCACTGAGCTTGCCAAGGTCTTACTTGATCTACCTAATGTTAAGTACATTCTCAGCGAAAAGTTTTGTCAGGATCGCCTTGAGAAGTACTTTTCCAGACAGAGAGGTGCAGGAGGCAGCAACACTAATCCAACATTAGAACAGTTCCAAAATAGCTATCTAGCACTCCATGCTACAGGTACATCGTTGCTGTATGCTCAAAAGTCAAAAAGGGGGAATTGCTCAAATGGAACTGGAACTGGCAAAGTAATTCTTGACGATGCACCATTACCCAAGTGCCAACGATCTTCAAATAGCAACCACAAGAAATAGTTCGCATACATATTAAGTCTTAATATACTTTATTAGCATATCTCAGCTCACCTCTGTTCCAGTTATTTAAATACTCTACTTCACAATGCAGAGGAACCTAACCATTAAGTTCTTTACGAAGACTTTTCTCTTTTTTACGTGAAATTTTTATATCATTTTTTCTTTCTTATTTGTAAATAAACATTGATAAATGCTTTACAACGTATCTTAATGTAATAGCAAACTACAGTATTTAAAAATTGTGTAGATAATTTCATAGTTAACTTATTTGCCAACAGCTTGTCCCACATTCTGTTTACATTATCAGACTCCATTATTTTGGTCAGTAAAATCTCTTTAAGATTTTCTTCTCGATATGTTATCAGTAATTGTTGAGTGTTAAAATGTTGTCGAAAAGGTGTCATTATTTACAGTAAACAATCCTCCTCTATTTTGCTTGTTAATCCATTGCTGTGTGTAAGTTAAGAAATCATTTGATTCATTATTATCAGCATCATGTACAACCCAGGTTTCAATAATTTTACACAGTTCATCTGAGCGTCTTTTTTTAAACCTTTTTTGTAACGCATACGGAATGTAGCCTGAAACATAACGGAGTACTTAATCCTCTTCTGTAGTTATAATATCTGCTGCCGTTTCGGTTACAATCTTAGGATTATCTATGTCATTTCGAATTTTCATTATGTTCTTTCCTATATCTTTAACTATATACATGAAGGCAATGGCATATGTTTTTACCTCACCATCATTAGACTTGATGAGTTTAAAGCAAGAAGCTCTAACAGTTGGAATAAATAAAACTTTGTGGAGTTTATTTTCTCGTATGCCTCTGCACCTAACATGTGGTCTGCTGAAGTCAAGGCCAGCCATAGTTCACCACAAAGATCATTTAAAAATTCATTTAACAAATTTGACTCAACATCATTTAATAAGTAATTAACCAGCTGTTGCATACACTGAGCCAGGCCTGCACTGAGCATTACTAAATTGTCCACTATATACAGGATGCACTTGTAGTGATTTTAAAGATTCAATAAAAAGTTGATGGATGGCTTTCTTGGCATCTTCTATGGAGTATTTCAAGACCGGCCTTCTGCAATTAGCAGTTCCTGAAATAGGTAAAATATTATGTTAACTACAGAAAGAATGTTTCATGATGTTGTTGTTGTATATATAGTAAATTTATTGTCATTACAGTAAGCAGCTTATACAGAGTTTGGTACAAATGTTATATACTGTATTATTGTATTATATAAATAACATTTGTACTCCTCCCTGTATTCAGCATACCAAATACTGTATACTGTAGTTAAAATGTGCATTTTATAATGTATATAATTTTGTCACCAGAAACTTTAAATACATTTTCCAACATTAATTTTTTTTTCTCCCTTTTTAACAATTGTTTGCTTTTGTCTTTTATCCTGCTGTAGTGGCTGTTCTGCAACCCTTTTCTTAGTTTTTGAGTGGGTTCTTCGACCTGTCATGTACAGAATTTGAAAACATCATACATTTTTCATACTCATTGTTCACATTATATTTAGTTTTTTATGCCCTTGGATAGTTAAAAATAATAAAAATAGGCCTAGGCAAAGTTGTTCCTGCTACTAGGCCAAGCAGTGGCGGCTCTAGGATATATTTTCTGGGGGGCTAAGTTGTCCGACAAGGGGGCTTGAGCTCGTAGGCTCGAGCTGGGAGAAGAGGTTGAGAGGGGGGTTCCCCCTCCCAAATGAGATTTTTTAAAGAATATCAACATCTAGATGGCCGAAAATGGCACTCTCAGACTGTGACAGACATGTGTTGGCTTGGTGTGGGCCTATTTTTATATGTTTTATGGTCTGACTGCCCGACGAGCTCTGTCCGGCGGGGGGGTGCTTGACCTGTCCGGTGGGGGGACTTAAGCCCCCTGCCACCCCACTGGCGCCGCCACTGACGCCAAGCCTAGGCTGGATCTAGTTTTTAGGCCTAAAATCATATTTCTCCTAAAACAAATACTGTACAAAAACAATTACGCTTGCAAATATAAACAAACATTAAATAAGGTGGCTACAAACCTGTGTTTTCTACGCTACGGAGAGGCTTCTTAATAGTATTAGGCATAGGCTGGGACACAAGCTTTCGAATAACTGAACACGGGTCGCAAAACAACCTCGTGTCGGGGATGTTGTCGGCTGTAAAGCCTACACAAAGAAAATGAAACCATTCATTTGGGCAATTTTCTCCTTCGCAGGCTATCATCTGGTCATCTGACGCTTCTCCACACGGACAATAAACGGGCTCATTTTCATTGAATTCAACATCGCTATTTTCAAAATCTAGATCCGAAAAATCTGCATCCGTATAAAGATCATCCATCTTATTATCTTATTAATTATTGCATACGCTTCTCTATTTTCTTTTCGAAAAGGTTTCGAGCGTAGATGAGATGACAAGTTTACTCAAGCGTTAAATTCTTCGTCACAAGCATAAGAAGGTTTACTGCGCATGCTCATATTCGGTAATTGAACCTCGTCGTTATCTACCTCTCTGCTTTCGTTATCTTGTCGGAAAAGTAGACTGATCAAAAGAGAGGATTCTGTTGTGACTCCTTCTAAATAACAACTCCCTGGGCTAGTAAATAAGTTTAACTGGGTTCGTAAATAATATTGGCCTCAAAATATTGTGGCTGAGACATGGGCCGATTAAACGTAGAAATAGGAAACCTAGAAATATAGTAAAAACGCTGAATAGTAATACTCGAGCGTCGCGACTTGCGGACGTTGGTACGTGTTGGTTAGTAATTGATTTTACCCGGCAGAACGAAAGAAGGAAACTCCGCTTTTCAGTCGTCTTAGGCCCTTGTTTTTTGACAAACAATGACCTTTCAGAGGTCAAATTGCTGTCAAGAATATGAATTGGCTGCTTCGCAGCAATTAAGTATGATTAGTAGTTTAATTATTTTATTATGTTTATTTTAGAGATGTTAATGCTAACCTGGAGTTTGTGAAGCTCAGCTAATGTGTCATAGTTTAGATAATACGCGGGCAAAGCAGTAAGTTTAAAATTCATGGAATTAAAGCTGTTTATTTGTGCTTTTATACGGTATTTACATGACTATGATAAAGATTACGAGTAATACAGTAATGTGATAGTATTGTGATAGCTGAGTTTTAAATGTTTATGCATAATGTGGTTGTTTACACAGATTTGAATGCAAACGAGCGAGTGAACGAGTTATTAAGAAATAAACTGCATACACACTTTGCTTACGAGTCACGTGTACTTCTTTTGGAGAGAGCGTTTTTCTATTGCTTACATTGATGATGGGATGATATAAAGGATATCGTTACGTTTAGAAAAAAAAAATATGTATATTATACATTTTTCGCAATATTAATACCGGTAATTATCATTATTTTCCGATATCTAAGTTTACAATTCTAATAGAAAATCCCGGGCGGATAGGTTCCACTACTCCACTAGCTTTGTTATGAGAATCACCAAGTCAAAATTAAAATGCCATTAGAAAAGTCTTCACTAATTGCTAAGACCTAATGATAATTATGTTTATTTTAAATTATCATTGAATATGGATAATGATACTTTTCCTATTGTATTTTTTTTACAGGAAATGCCGTTTCATGGAATTCGAATTAGAGTCGCAGTACTTGTTTGCTTGGGCAAGAAATGGACCCACTCCTACCATCCCTCGGGGTAAGTTACCAGCCAAAACACACCAGTAGTAGATACTGCAGAATAGTACAAAATATATTGTTTGCTGAACATACATAATATACCCAAATATAAAACCATAGAATTCTGTGGTTGAGAATTATCATTATTATGTTAATTTTCTTTGTTGTTGTCATCATTCTCCTCCTCGTCATCATCAATATCATCATAATAATCTCTATCTTTCTTCTATATTATAACTATCATCGTTATACTATGTAGTTATCATCATTGCTATGGGGTTTTAAACAATATAGTTGTTAATTGGGAAACATACACAATTTTTTTTAAAACTCCGTTGTACTTTATTTTTCACTCTTAACACATTAATATACTTCCTAAATGCCCTACATATTGCACCACTGATATGTATGCAGATGATACTATCATTTACTACAAATAAACATAGTATTATAATGTAAGAAAACCTTAACTCTGAGATCGATTGGTACAAATAAATAAAAAGATATAAAAAACCATACACTCTATGTATGAATGGTTTTGCAGAATGCAAGTGTATATATTATATATATATATATTGAATATACTTTCTTAATACTTTATAATTTTATATATATAATTATACATATATATTTAATTATTCAATTATACTGTCTCTTATACACATCTAGATGTGTATAAGAGACAGGTGTTTTCTACGGTACCAGCTAAGTTTTAGGATAGCTGGTGTACAGTACTTCCTTTGACATGTGGGCAATTCTATGGTAACAGAATTACAAATCACAACATTTTTAGACTTATTTTGGCAAACCCAGAAAATTAGGGCATGCGTTGGATAGTAACTGTTATGTAAGTAATACATAGTCTACCAATATCAAACAGTGGTACTTGGCAAAACAAACTAACAATATTTTGAAATTTTGACCAATTCTATTTCGGTAACGGAATTACACAGAAATTTTAAATTTTAATTTTGATCACGGAACATAAGATTCCGTTTGAGTATTATAACCAATTAACATTAGTGACTGGTATCACAGTCTGGACATAAGGTGTGACTAAATTGTTCATGAATGTTTGCTTCTCATATATTTATGGTTTATTTGTATTTGATTGGTTTTGTTTGGTAACGGAATTAGGTAACACGGTAACGGAATTACATGTCCGATTACTGATTAGAATAAAATATCAAAACATCGAAAAAAGAATTGGAAATAATATTTAGTGTACTTAAGGGCATCATATTATTTTAAGCTACTTTAACCAAGTACAGTAGCCACAGGCAGTACTGGCTGTTGCAAGTTTTATTTTGGTAACGGAATTACACAGAAATTATCAATTTCAATTTTTGCAAGTAACACAAAGTTCTGTCTGAATATTATAACCAACTAACATCAATGACTGGCATCATAGTCTGGACATAAGATGTGGCTAAATTGTTAAGAAAGTTTGCTGCTCATATATCTATGGTTAACTGTATTTGTATGGTTTTGTTTGGAAACGGAATTACACGACACAATAATGGAGTTACATGTTCGATAGAACATGGAGGTGGAATAAAATATTAAACTATCCAAAAACAATTTGTTGATAGTATTTAGTGTACTGTAATTTATGGAACTACATCATATGATTCTAAGCTAAGTTAACTACAATACAGTAGGCGTAAATATTTGCTGTTGCACCCGCACTTACTGTACTCACAATAATCCGAAAAGGCTATTCTAGAATGCCTATCCATCTATGGTTCACATAGCTCGGTACTATGCAAGATCTATCCAAAATCTATGAATGTTGTCAATTGGCCACACAAATTAACAAAATTCAATTATTCTAACAAACTTTAGGGTAAACTTATTATTGTGACTTTCAGGAACCTGACCAACAAATTTGTTGGCATGCTTCTGGCAAAAGTACTTAACAACCACCTACTTCAGGTCGGATATATAGACAATTTTATTTTTTGAAGAATATGAATTAATAAGGCTAAAATTTCACTTCGAACCAAATTCTACATATGTTTCAGCTCTGAAAATGAAACCCAAGTTTAGATTAAAAGGGGATTAAATTTTTGGTGGTTTTGGCCTTCCAATGTGGAATTGCCCATAAATCATCAAAGAAATATATATATATTTCTTTGATGAAATTTAAATAAAATATATTGGGGAAAAGGTTATAATGTACATAAATGCCATTATTTTTTTCAGTATAGATATGGCGAACAGGGCAGGGTGTGTTGTTATTGTTGTTGTTGTTATTATTATTGCTGTTGTTATTATTGTTGTTGTGTAGTGATTGCTGTTGTGTTGTTGTTGCTGCTGTGTTGTTGCTGTTATGTTGTTGTTGCTGCTCTTATTGCTGCTCTTGTTGTTGCTCTTGTTGCTGCTCTTGTTGTTGTTGTTGCTGCTGCTGCTGTTGTTGTTGTTATTTAGTGACAATTGGGAGTGGGATGTGGATGTGAGGTCAATTTAAAGGGATTTGAAGGGAAACACACACACACACTAGACATTTCAGAAAGGAGTCAGCTGATCTGAATGAAATTTGTTGGAAATTAAATAAGCTACAAGGAAGAAATTATAAAAACTTGATGACGTTGTGAATTTAAGGATCATTTAAAGTGCTAACGTCCCAGACCTAAATATCTTTAAAAGCTTATCAATTGATAATTACATTTTGGTGACTATACTTATCAATCCCCCGCTGTGTTCTTTAGCAAGGAATTTCTGTCTGCGTTGCTTCTCTCCAATCAGAAGTTTAAATGGATACCTGGTTGGGTTGCCTGCTACTGCGCCAATGACAGCAACATTTATAGGCGAGCAGATTAGAGGCTATTTTGGGGTGGAGGTCGCAATGGAAGTACTACCGGCTAATTTTGATATTTTCTGAAAATATAGGTCTTGAAAGGTTCAGGAATCAAAATTACCCAAAATCACTTTGGGGGAACACCTCCAAATTACGCATTCAAAATGGCCACCAATTTTCCACTTGAAATTATAGTTTTAGCTTAATTATATAAAAAATAACATTACTCAAATAATAATTATCAACAATTGGTGAAACTTACTCAAAATATTTATAAAATCATCAGAAATAAATCTTGCGTTAAGAAAAACTATAATTTCAATCACCATAGCAACTGTTGCTATGCAAATTAAATTTCCTATTTTATTCATTAAATTTAAGTATACAGGAAGCTTAAAGTTTATTATAATCTTCATTTTCATAGGTTTTATAATTATTGTTAACATTTGAATTATCTATTATTATCATAGAATAAAATTATGTAAAAAAAATCCTGAAACCTTTAATAAAATAGCAACACTATTTTTATCGTCCATAGCAACGAAGCAAAATCAGCAGAATTGCTGTACATTTGTCATTGACCAAGCATGAGATACAATATTTTTATACAATAAACATCTCTTATTGTTCACAAAGTTAGCACATTGATGTATAAAATACAATGTCATCACTATAGCAACTGTTGCTATGCAAATTTAAATTTCCTATTTTATTCATGAAATATAAATATAAGGGATGCTTTAAGCTTACTGAAATCATCATTGTCATAGGTTTATGAATATTTTTTCTATTTAAGTTATGTATTAGAGAAGAGCAATATTTAAGAAAACAAAATCAAGAAACACCTTTATTGAAGTGCTACGGAACTTCATAGCAACGAATGAAATTCACGTAATAGCTGTTATTATTTGTATTTCAAGTAAAATATTATTAGATTGGCTTATACAATATTTTCTATACAATAAACATCTTTTATAGAAAAAAGTGAATTTAATGGTGTCAAAGAATACGAGGTTATCACCATAGCAACCATTGCTATGCAAATTAAAATTTTCTAATTTTTCATAAAATACGTATATATAAATTAGTATAGGATTTATGAAAAATGTTTGAAATTAATGAAATTTTATTGTCTTTTCAAATAAATTAAGTAGGTCTATAATGCTTTTTTTGTGAATTTTATTAATGAAATATAAAATAATATTATATAATATAGAAATTTATGCTAAAGGAAAATTATTCACAGTAACCATGCAAAATCAACAGAATTATCTTTTCCATAAACCAAGAAAAACATTTAACTTTTAAATAATAACCAGATGGCTAGAGCTCATTTACATTGCAGAAAATGACAAAATATGTAGATGTTTTCGAAAAGGTGAGAGGCCAATATGAGGTATCAAAGGCGACGAAAGCGGGGAGGGGGACATTGGCCTACCCACTTTTTCTACTGCCCCCCCCCCACCATTATTGTGACAAACATTTTACAAACGCTGCAATTTCATTATTATTATTATTATTATTATTATTATTATTATTATTATTATTATTATTATTATTATTATTATTATTATTGTTGTTGTTGTTATTGTTATTGCTATTATTTTTATTATTATTATTATTATTATTATTATTATTATTATTATTATTATTATTTGGTGCATATACACCTTGTTTATTTGCGTCTTATAAATTGACCTATTATCATCATTATATTAATAGATTTTTTTTTCATTTTCTAACGAGCATTACTAGTTCCCTTTTTGAGTTGAGCAACCAAATGTTGATTGATGTCTGTATACGTTCGTCTGTAAAGTTTCCTTGAAACCAACCCTCAAGCATGAAGAAAAAATCGCCTGCCTTTCGTGAATTCTGTATTTAGACATATGGGGGAAGGTAGGCAATCTTAACGGAGCGACGCTCTAGTTCTCTTTATGCTAACCACGAAGATGTATAGTAAGTGTAACTGATGGGCTTACAGTAAACCTTCAAACTAGCGGAATACAACCACATTTAAACTCCATCTAAATTAACGAAAACAATAATAATAATTAATTAGGCCATTTTTAAAACTACAGTTCCCTGAAGGTTAACTACATAATTTACAGTACGCTGTTGTTAATGTGTTATAGGTTGTAAAAACTGTATTGAGTAAAAAAAAAATTCGAATAAAAATATCTTTCGCTTGACATTAAGAATTAATCATTTATGATACAAAATGATAGGCTCTTTCAAGTGTTATATTGAACAGTGGCAGATTCAAGAGGGCCCTCAACCTCTTAATTTTTTCAAAATTATAAATTATTTAAAAAAATTGTAAAAACAGACAAATATTCAACTTTTAATCTTAGAGTGCCATTTCCGGACATCTGGAGGTGCCATAATCATTCTTACCTCAGCCCCAAAAGTTGTGCGGATGAGGTGGGTGGACATTTTATTGGCGCAAAACACTCTA